TAGTAGTAGTGGGAGCAGTCGCAGTAGTAATAGTAGCAGTAGTAGCCGTAGCTGTTGTAGGGGTCGCGCGGTTCCTAGCCCAGAAAGACCTGCGCATCCTCATTCGCCAGTTGTGCGACGGCCCGCTCCCACTAGGTGTTCGTGACTTGGCGTGGCAGCCGTGCATGGAAGCATCCACTGGAGCTATTGTCGAGACGACTGGCATCATGACCACAGCTTGCATATCCGCTGGTGTAGCTGGGAAGGGCGCTCAAGACGCCAGATGATTCTCGATGTTGGTGGGCCAGGACTCTTCGACTTTAGCGCAGAAGGCCAGCGACGTGATCGATTTCAGTAGCGACTTCTCTGGCATACTACCGCACGTGGCAGCAACCATGAATATGAAGGCCGTGCTTGAACAGGCGAAGTGCCCAGCGATTGATGTTTTCAACCTTGAGACTTTGCATGACTCCCTGGCAACGTCGGAACCGATCCCGCTCGACGTGCTCGGCGAGACCGGCGCGCTGTATTCCCTCATGCGCACTGCCATGTTCGCCGGGGCGGCCAGCAACGAAACCATTTTCAAGGACGACGTCGGCACTGAGTTTTTCATTGGGCCACCATCGGGACACCCGAAGCCTGATGTCAAACTTCAGCCTCTGAACAAAATTCGTTATGTGGAGGTGACCGTTCCAGGCTTGCGCACCCACTTGGCAAAACCTGTCATGCGCTTAGATCGGTTTTGCTTTGTTTCGTGAATCCGTTCGTGCTTGTCTGTTATTGGCTCCCCCCTTCCCTCCACAGCACCCCGGCCCCACGCCACCGGTGGTCCCCCCGTGCCTGTCGCATTCTTTCTCCTTTCAGCCATCCCCCTCTCAGTCCCCGCCCTTTGCCTTTTCCTGGGTGCCTGGTTCTGTTTGTCTGGCGTTGTGGGGGGTGAGGGAAAGCCGTGGGAGGTCCAGTGACAGGTCAGACGGCACGCGCGAACCAGCGAACACGTCACGATCTGTTGCTGCAGGTTGCCGTTCACGGTGGGCATGCCGCAGATCACGGTCCGCATCTAGCGGCAACGTGCCACGGAGACGTCACGAGTTGTGGCCTCGAAACGAGAAGCACAGGTCGGTGGCGGATGGGGGTGAGCAGATGGGGAGTACAGGGTCCAGCTTGAATAAGGATAATCTATTTTTCAAAAGGGGCTCGGTCGTTCCTTTGGTTTGCATGCGTTCCGCTACCTGTTTGGCGGCGAGCCCCCCTGGTGTTCCTTCGGACTTCCTAGATTTAATTGGAAAAAGGGGTTTCGTTCCTTATTTATTTTTCCTCAGGTCAGGCCGAATACTGTAGGGATGAGGAAACTAAAGGAGGAGAATGGGCGAGAGGACAGCCCGTCAATTTTCGCAGTGATCTACGCGGCCACAGCTTATCAATCGCCCTCGGCTGTGGCAAAAACGAGGAGGGGGCTGTGGGGAGGGAGACAGAAATCCGCGTTCGGGCCCATGTTGCACGTCGCGCGGCGCGTCCCTTGGCACGTCCCGTGGCACGTCCCCTGGCACGTTGCGTGGCGCGTCCTTTTGGCACGTCCCGCGGTGCATTGGTGCATCCCCGTGGCACGACCCTTGGCACGTCCCCCTGGCGCGTCTCGTGGCGTATCCCCTGGCGCGTCCGATGGCACGTCATTGTGCGGTACGGCACCGAACAGCGCAGCACAACCCAGCCCCTGGCACAGTAGCATCACCATCGACATCTTCAGTATTGCCATTGCCTATCGCCCAACTGATGTCCTTTATAAAATGTCCATGCGCCGCACTTCTAAATCCCTTTCATGGCTTGTGGGTCGATCAGTTTACTTTAATTTGCTCAACGTTATTTTCCCCCGAGCGTCTCGTTGGTTGCCTCTTCGGGCTTCGCCTGAAAACGCTCTTGGGGCTTTGGAGCATCTAGGGGAGATCGTTGTAGTCTCCATGGGATCGCAGCGCCGTCTTCGGGCGTTTTCTGGGTGAGCCTACCCCTCGGGGGCCCCCAAACGGTGTGGTGACCACACCGTACGGTGAGTCGGCGGGGATTCGGGGTCACCGCACGGTTTTGGGACTCGGGTCCCTCTCCGAGGATGTCTCGGGCGACGTGGGCCTCCAGGGTCCCAAAACCGTGCGGTGACGGACCGTGCGGTGAGGTCTTGGGGGATTTCGAGGTCACCGCACGGTCCGTCACCGCACCGTTTCGGGACTCCAAATACCCCAGGAAAGCGACGCTCGGAGGGGAGATGCGCCCAGGGCCAGGGCGTCATACCGTACATGCAGCGTGCCGACCACCTCGTAGAGGTTCCTCGCGCTCCGATCTGCCTGGGTTCCGTGAGCCTTGCGCGGAGGACTTCGCGCGCAGCGAGACGGTCTCCCCAGGCGCCTGCGCCGTGCCTGCGAGGCGAGATCCGGGTCACCCCCAGAGGCGCGAGGATCTTTGCGCTCCGCGCGCCGCGGCGCGGGCCAGAGAGCTGTTCTTCGCCACGGTGGCCTTGCGAGGTCGGGAAGATCACCGCGCGCCGCGCATCGCGGGGCTCGCGGCCAAGGAAATGCCGCTGCCCCCTCGGGCTTCTTCACGGTGCCCACAGCAGAAGATGGGAGCGGCCATCAGGACCCACGTGCTGTTGAATCCTGATGTCCGCGCGCACCTGCTACAGTGGAGGCCCATGCCAAGAAACACCCTGCTTGCCTCCAGGGTGCCATGGGTTTCTTGGGTTTCGACGGCTTTGCTATGGAAAGCGTGACGTTCCCACACCAAACATCAATCGACATCCTGGGGTTCCTCGAGGTTGCGTTTCTTGTGGAAGGTTTCTTGTGGATTGGCCTCCGCTGCACCTCACCCAGAGATCCGACGCTGCGGCAAAATGCAACAGCGCGGAAAATCACGACTGGAGCCCCAGGACCCCCCCCATCTCTCTGCCACATGTCTTCCGAGCTGCATCCTTCTGCGATGGTCCTGGGCCCCGACACTGGGCAGAAGCGCCCGGAGCGAAAAGTTGCAGCGCCGAGGTCCTCCTCCTCCTCCTCCTCCTCCTCCTCATCCTCCTCCCTCAGGGGGCAGCTGTGGCCCCCCCCCGGCACAGGTGCTGCTGGACGCGGACGAGTCTGGCGTCTGCGACATCTCCGTCGGGCGCCGGGCGGAGGGGGGAGCGGGGCCTCACGGACGGCTGCGGGCTCTGGAGCGGAGGGTTTCTCCGAAGGGCTTAGAATTTTGAAGACCCGTCCTCCTCCTCCTCCTCTCCCTCCTCCTCCTCCTCCTCCTCCTCCTCCTCCTCCTCCTCCTCCTCTATCCTCCATCTCCTCCTCCCTCCTCCCCCTCCTCCTCCTCCACCTCCTCGTCCTCCTCCTCCTCCTCCTCCTCCTCCTGCTCCTCCTGCTCGGGTCGCCTACGGCCCTGGGGGAACCGTGCACTCGGGAGCAGGAGGTCGATGCAAGATGTCCGGGAAACAGTTTGGCCTTCTCGCGGCTCCACGTGGTATTGGCACAATCCCCGCTTCGGCCGCGAGGCCAGTCGGTCGAGACTCGGCGTCGCTCCTGTCGTCCTGATTCTCATAGCGTTCGCCTGCTGTGTCAGGGCCCTCTTCGACACGAGAGTAGGGAGGGCTTCAGCGGAGGGGGCGCGTAAATGTTTCAGTGCTCGCTTGTGATAGTCTCGGCGGTTTCTACGTCACTGTGGGCGCACAGGGGAGTGGCCTCGAGGGCTGATCGGGCTCCTCCGCCTCTTCCTAGCCCCGATGTGTCTTTGGTGGTTGCCCTTTTCTACGCTCGTCGCTTGGCCTCACAGTCCAGGATCGCCGCGCTTCGCTTGCCCCTCCGAAGTTCCCCGCATACAGTGGAGGCCCATGTCAAGAAACACCCTGCTTGCCTCCAGGGTGCCCTGGGTTTCTTGGGTTTCGATGGTTTTGCTGTGGAAGGCGTGACGCTCCCACACCACAACTCGATGGGGTCCTCAAGGTTGCGTTTCTTGTGGAAGGTTTCTTGTGGACGGGCCTCCACTGTACGATTTTGGGCCCGGAGGCGAGGCGTGGTGAGCTCTTGGACGAGCCCCGTTGGGCACGCCCGATCTCCTCGTTCCGATGCCGTCTCGGCGGCCAGGGCATTCTTCGCTTCTATGGGCGGCCAGGGGCGCGTCTACAGTAGAGGCCCATGCCAAGAAGCACCCTGCTCGCCTCCAGGGTGCCCTGGGTTTCTTGGGTTTCGATGGTTTTGCTATGGAAGGCGCGACGTTCCCACACCAAGAAAACATGGACATCCTGGTGTCTCAGAGTTAGGTTTCCTGTGGAAGGTTTCTTGTGGACGGGCCTCCACGATATTTTCGTACGACGTCACTCCTTCTGGCGTTCCTCGACGGGCAGACGATGTGCACCCGTGGAGGAGTCGCTCGGCGGAGGCAGTGAGCGCGTCGGGGCTGCCACGGGTGCGTGCCGACGCCTAGCGGAACCCACCGGGAGCATCGAGGAGCGCGGGAGGAGGGGGAGCATCTGATCTTCGTGTCTCCCTGTTGCCGCGCCCTGTCGCGCGGCCACTGCGCATTCAAGGCGCTGTTGAACTGGCAAGTGTCTGGACCTCTCGGACTTCACTCTATTGGAGGACCCCCTCCTTACTGCGGTATGTTCGCGCCGCGTTTACGCGGCGGCGACTCTGGCGCGGGTGTCCAGGGTTGAACTCCGCCGTTGGCGTGGAGTCGCCTGACATTGAGCGATCTATGCAATCGGAAAGCCGCGATCGCTATATCAGAAGAACTGATGGCGACGCCAGTGCGACGCCAACCTGCCGTAACCCCAGTGGTTCTAGGCCTCCCAAAACGCGTCTGAGTCGATGGGACCGCGGGATCACCCTAGATTGCCGATCCATTAGCCACCCGAGGGGCACCACTCCTTCGGGCGACATCCCACCCTCACAGGGAACAGTTTGGGTTCGGAAGGCGATCGTTGTCATATTCACTGTTTTGCCGATCGGCGGCGCGGGCCCCCGCACCCCCTCATCCCTGGAGGGTTTCTCCGTTAGGCGACCCGTCCTCCTCCTCTCTCCTCCTCCTCCTCCTCCTCCTCCCCCTCCTCCTCCCCCATTTCCTCCTCCTCCTCCTCCTCTTCCTCCTCCTTCTTCTCCCCCTCCTCGCCCTCCCCTCCTCGGGTCGCCTACCTGGGGAAACCGTCCCCTCCTCCCCCCATGGAGTAGATCTCAGCTGTTCTTCCCAGAGAGGGGTTTTGCACAGGGTGTTCTCTTGGTAGGGTTTACCCGCCGGGTTGACTTGCAGGAGGCCAGTGGAGTTCTTTGCTATAGATTTGGTGAGCCTTGAGACGGGGGTCAATGCAAACGGGGGTCCGCCAGGACGCCCGATCTTGCAGGATCATGCAGGGCCAGGGTCGCACTGACCTGGGGCTTGGGTGCATGATCCTGCAGGATCTTGCAGGATCCTTCGCATTGACCCGGGCTTGGGTGCAGGATCTTGCAGGATTTTGCAAGGCCTGGCTGACCCAGGGCTGGATTGACTCGGGTCAGAAGATCCCAGCAAATAGCGAGGTAAGCTTATGTTTGTGGTTGAAGAAGTGCGTTTCTCGCGTGCCCACTCGAGGAAAATGCGCCCCCCATGTCCGATCCTCGATAAATAACTGGGTCCGCAGGCCACCGCTTTCCTTCGTGGTGCGGCGCGTTTTGCCCAGAATCCTTGAAAGATAACGAAGTCAGGAGGCCCAGACATTTAGCAGAAAACGAGAAAGAGTTGATGTTGTGCGTGCCCGCTCGAGGGTTCCGCGTCATGTGCGCACAATTCTCGAGGATGTCTCGAGCGAACCGCTTGTTTTGCATGACTTGGGAGGCCTGGGCGCCCAAGGCTGCCCAGGT